CCCTGGGTCAGGAAGATCCCCTAGAGAAGGGAATAGCTACCCACTCCAGTATGCTTGCCTGGAGAATTCCATGGATAAAGGAGCCTGGCGGGCTACAGTCCATGGAGTTGCAAACAGTTGGACACAACTGAGTGACTAACACACACACACGTCTAGTTTATAGAGAAACAGAAAGTGATGCCAGGATTTCCAGCAGCAGGCTCTGAGCCCACTCAGTGGTGAAGGGCAGACAGGGTGGATAAGGCCGCAGCATGTGGCTGAAGGAAACCAACACATCCCCTACATCCCAGGCCTCAATTTCCTCCTCTGGAACACCTGGGGGTTATAAGGAGGCCTCGCAGCTCAGACCTGGGACCGTGAGTTCTACAGCTGGTCTGGAGCGGGGAGCAGGTGGTGAGGCCCTTGCCTCCGGGAGAGCCGGGCCGGCTGTGGGCCAGATGGCGGCCAGGCCTGCGGACGCTGCCTGCCACGTCCCCGCCTGTGGACTCTGCCAGACCACAGGTCATCACTTTTGGGTCGTGGTGTGTGGTAACCTGGGGTTCCTCAGTGCCTCAGTGGTAAAGAGTCCGCCTGCAATGCAGGAGATGCAGGAGACATGGGTTTGATCCCTGGGTTGGGACGATCCCCTGAGGGAGGAGATGGCAACCCACTCCAGCATTCTTGCCTGGAGAATTCCATGGACAGAGGAGCCTGGTGGGCTATAGTCCATGGGGTCATACAGTCTAACGCGACTGGGTGACTGAGCATTTGAGCAGTGACCTTCCTGGGTTCTTTCTGTCCTCAGTCACCCATGTCTCATTCCGGGTATCACAGCCAGGCCAAGGACCTTGGGGAGATCTGTGGCCTTGCTCTGCCTCCCTGCCACATCCCACCTGCTGTATCTCCTGTTGGCTCCACCTGCAAAGTACATCTTGGCTAGGATCCCATTCCTCCCTGGCCACCAGCCTGGGATGAGCACCATTTCTGGCCAGGAAGTCTTGCTTCCTAAATAATGTCTCTAATTTAAGATAGTGCCTCAACTGCAAGTGTTGGTCATACTCCCTTTCCTCACTAGTGCCCCCAACCCATCCTCATTTCATGCAGGGGAACTGCCTCCACTGTGGTCCATAGGACTCTCCATGACCTGGAGCACTCCTCATTGCTGCCCACCACATCTCCTCCTCTCCTCTCCCTCACTTTTTCCCAACATGCAATACTTTGCACTGACTCTCCTGTGCTATGTGATCTTAAAGTTCCTAGTGTGTCCACAGACCATGTGTCTGCAGTGTACTATGTGTGAGTGCACGGTCAGGGGCCCAGCAAAGCTCTTCTTGCTTATCTTCAACTGTGTGTCTGACATATGGGTCAAATCTGGGTGTTTATGAAGTGTGCGTGCATATGGATGCCATTGACTGCAGCTGTGTGTGTGTCGGGCGTGTGAGCTGTAGGTCTCTGCTGAGTGGGGTTTGATGCCTGCATGTGGTTCATCTGGAACAAAGGCTCAAGTGGCAGGCAGACCACAGGAGGGTGAGGGGGTGTGTACAGAGCTAGCAGGAACGTGAGCTGCTCATGCTCCCACACATTCAATATTTATTCGAGTGCTTATTGTGTGCTGTAGGGGTCAGCAGGGCCCTTCAGCACCTGGTATCTATCAACGTTCACAGTGTCAACTCCTGAACACTTCACACACAAATGATTGAGTACCCACTGTGTACGGACCCTCTGCTAGAGATGGATCAGTTGCATCTGGTTCTACCTCTGGCCCCTCCAACCCTGTGTCCACCCTCTTTCTCCAGCACTGACTGCAGGAAGGCTCTGAGCCCCATTTGGACCCCTGGGCCCTGCCTAAACTATGGACAGAGGTTCGCAACATTGCACAGGAGGCAGTGACCAAAACCATCCCAAAGAAAAACAAATGCAAAAAACCCAAGTGGTTGTCTGAGGAGGCTTTACAAATAGCTGAGAAAAGAAGAGACACGAAAGGCAAGAGATAAAGGGTAAGATATACCCAACTGAATGCAGAATTCCAGAGAATAGCAAAGAGAGATAAGAAGGCCTTCTTAAGTTAACAATGCAAAAAAAAAAAAAATTAAAAAATAGAGGAAAACAATAGAATGGAAAAGACTAGAGATCTCTTCTAGAAAATTGGAGCTATCAGGTGAACATTTAATACAAGAATGGGCACGATAAAGGACAGAAATGCTAAGGACCTAACAGAAGCAGAAAAGATTAAGAAGAGGTGGCAAGAATACACATAATAACTATACAAAAAAGTTCTTAATGACCCAGATAACCATGATGGTGTAGTCACTCACCTAGAGCCAGACATTCTGGAGTGTGAAGTCAACTGGGCCTTAGGAAGCATTACTATGAATAAAGCTAGGAGGTGATGGAATTCAAGATGAGTATTTTCAAATCCTAAAATATGATGCTGTTAAAGTGCTGCACTCAATATATCAGCAAATTTGGAAAACTCAGCAGTGGCCACAGGACTGAAAAAGGTCAGTTTTCATTCCAATCCCAAAGAAGGGCAATGCCAAAGAATGTTCCAACTACTGTACAATTGTGTTCATTTCACATGCTAGTAAGATTATGCTAGAAATCTTTCAAGCTAGGCTTCAGCAGTATGTGAACTGAGAACTGCCAGATGTACAAGCTGGGTTTAGAAAAGGTAGAGGAACCAGAGATCAAATTGCCAACATTCATTGGATCATAGAGAAAGCAAGGAATTCCAGATAAACATCTGCTTCTGCTTCATTGACTACTGTAAGTGTGGACCACAATAAACTGTGGAAAATTCTTAAAGAGATGGGAATATCAGAACACTTTACTTGTCTCCTGAGAAACCTGTATGTGGGTCAAGAAACAACAGTTAGAACCAGACATAGAACTGGTGTTACTTTCCCTTTCAAAATTGGGAAAGGAGTATGACAAGGCTGTATATTGTCACCCTGCTTATTCAACTTATTAATATATTCAGAGTGCATGATGTGAAACACTGGGCTGGATGAATAACAAACTGGAATCAAGATTGCTGGGAGAAATAATAACAACCTCAGATATGCAGATGAGACCACTCTAATGGCAGAAAGTGAAGAGGAACTAAAGAGCCTCTTGATGAGGGTGAAAGAGGAGAGTGAAAAAGCTGGTTTAAAATTCAACATTCAAAAAACTAAGATCATGGCATCAGTCCCATCATTTCATGGCAAATAGAAGGGGAAAAAGTGGAAGCAGTGACAGATTTTGTTTTCTTGGGCTCCAAAGCCACTGCAAATGGTGCCTGCAGCCCTGAATTTAAAAGACACTTGCACTTTGAAAGCAAAGCTTTGACAAACCTAGACAGCATATTAAAAATCAGAGACATCACTTTACTGACAAAGATCTGTACAGTCAAGGCTATGGTTTTTCCAGTAGTCATGTATGGATGTGAGAGCAGGACCATGAAAGAAGTGTGAGCACTAAAGAACTGATGTTTTCAAATTGTAGTACTAGAGAAGACTCTTGAGAGTCCCTTGGACTGCAAGGAGATCCAATCAGTCAATCCTAAAGGAAATTAACCCTGAATATTCATTGGAAGGACTGATGCTGAAGCTCTAATACTTTGGCCACCTGATGTGAAGAGCCAGCTCATTGGAAAAGACCCTGACACTGGGAAAGATTGAGGATAAAAAGAGAAGGGGGCGGCAGAGGATGAGATGGTTAGACAGCATCACTGACTCAGTGATGAATATTTGCAAACTCCGGAAGATAGTGGAGGACAAGGAAGCCTGGTGTGTTGCATTCCATGGAGTCACAAAGACTCAGACATGACTTAGCAAGCTAACAACAGAAACAACCCTGCCTGAGGCTGCACAAGAAGAGCTTTCTAACTCAGAAGGTGAAAAAATAAATGGGTTCAAGCCTGGAAAGAAAATTCTGGAAGCTTGGACCCATTCAGGGTGAAGATTCTAGTCTTTCAGTGGCCTTGAAATCTCTGGAAACTTTACAGAAGCCTTCTTGGCTTTCAGCTCCATGGGGTTCAGAAGGGAGGAGAGGAAAGGAAGGCAAGAAAGAAGAAGAACAAAGAGAAAAAGGAAGGAAACAGATGCAGGTCTTTGCACCTTGGCTGAAGACTACTAGGGTGTTTGGGCCACTGGAGCTGGGAGGTCCAAGCGGGATTGGTCTGGTGAAATGGACTTTGGGGGTGTAAGTGTGGGTTTGAAGGGTCTGTGGGCAAGGGTCTGGGGGGAGTGCAGTGGGATTTGAGTAGAGGATGGGGGAGATAACTTGAGGGCAGGGGTTTGGGGGTAAGGAATGAAAACTGAGGGTTCGGCAGGAGGTTTGGGGATCTGAGCGCAAACCGAGGGTGGAGATTCTTGGGTGTGAGAGAGGAGGCTCTGGAAGACGGGGTAGGACTGGGACCCAAAGCTGGGTTGGATGTTTGAGGCCTGGGTCCTAGGTGAGTTCCTGAGACCTAGGGAGGTCTTGGGGAGGGAGTGACCCTGGAAGGAAAGAGGGGGCGGGTCTCAGATTTCTTAGATCAGTTTCTCCAAGTTCCTCCTCTCATCTTGGCTCGGGGCCGCCACTCCCCCTTCCCAGAACAGAACCCTCTCCTGAAGTGCAGTGTTTCGCTCTCGGGCAGCTCCTACTCCTCTGAGTGAACTCTGTCCCTCTCCACTCACTTGTCCCGCATCCCACCGTCGCCTGTCTCCTCCCCAGAGGCTACTCGCGGACACGCACAGGTTGCCTTCACCCCGCCCCTCCCATATAAGCCCCTCCCCCTACTCTGGACACGCCCCTCCGTAGACCATGCCCCCCGCCCCTTCCCTGGCCCACCAATCTCTCGTCCCTCAGACCCAAGTCTGCTGCTCTTCCCAGACTCCGCCCCTTTCCCCAGGCCCCGCCCCTCCTCTCCCAGAGCAGTACCGGTTCTTTGCCCTCCCGCGCCCATTTTCAGACCCCGCCCCCTCCCGGGCCAGGAGCCGCTCCCTTCTCAGACCCGGCCCCGCCCCTTGCCTAGGGCCCCGCCCTTCTGCAGAGCAGGCCCCGCCCTACCCCCCGCGATTTGGTCTCCCGAGCCGGCGCGCGCGGTTCCCGTCACTAGCACGCGCGGTGGCGGCGGCGGGAAGATGGCGGAGTCCGGCGGTAGCGGTGGCGCTGGTGGCGGCGGCTTCGGCGCCGGTCCGGGCCCCGAGCGCCCGAGCAGGTGAGACCCAGCCCGCAGGGTGGATCTGCACCTGCCTCAGGGCAAGAGTGGCCTGTGAGGAGTCCTGGGGGTCCTGAGGGGTTCGGGATGGCTTCAACCAGCTCGAGGATCTTTACGGGGGCTGCGGGCTTTAGGTGGCCATGGAATACTGGGGGGACTGAGGGCTATTCATGGGGCATTTGATGGCGGCTTGGGGGCCCCGGGACCTCCAGGCGTCTGCATAATGTCCTTAGGGGCCAGAGAGGGCTTTGAGGGACATGGAGATCTGAAGGGAATCCCAGGGGTTCCTGATTGTGATATGGCCATGAGTAACTGAGGATGCCAAGAAGTCTGGGAGGCAGGGAGGTCCTGAGTAGGGGCCATAGGCAATCTTGCAGTTGTTGAGGCTGTCCTGCGGACTCTGAAGAGGGGACTGGGGGAGCTTGGAGGGCTGAGGCCCAGGGCTTCCTGGAGGGTGCTGAAGGACCCTGAGGTTTCTAAGGGTGGTCCTGAGAATGTGCTGAGGGGATTTGGGGGGTGTGAGGACTGTGGAAGGTTGGGAATAGGAGGCTCAAATGAACCTGAGGGCCTGAAAGAGACCCAAGGGACCTGGGAGAATCTGAAAGTGGAAGCTGGTGGTCCCAGTGAGTTCTGATCGGCAGGGAGGGGTCTGGGGATTCTGGAAATCCTAAGGGGCTTTAGTGGGTCTTGGGAAGCCTGAGGATGGTTTAAAAGGCTGAAGGTTAAAAAAAAAAAATACATGAGGAGGGTCCATCTTGGGGCTCCTCCCTCTAATCCTCTTGGGGTGTAAATTCCCACTCCCTAGGGCAAAGAACTTGAAGCAAGATCTTGCCCTCAGATCATGGTGGAAGAATTCACCCCTTTTGGTCTGAGAGAGGCCCCCTTTATCTTTGGCCAAGTCCTAAGAATGATTGTTTGAACCCCAGAATTGGCGTAGCAATTGAAGGTGTTTAAATGCATTGTTCTGGGTTCTCAGAGGGAAAAAACACCTGTGTTACAATGCAAGACCTTCCTCTGTCTTCCCATTGCCCAAGGCCAGCATGGTCTAGATCTCTTCATCCAGGCCCACCAGGACAGCCTGCTACCATTGGCTGGCAGAGCAAGTCATTTGGCCTTTTTCTCACTTGTGAGCTTATGAGAGCAAATAATTTAAGCCAACGTGATAAATGATAAAGTGGTCATTACTGGTGTGTTACAGTAATGTTACAGAGTCAGTCCTCGTTGTGGGGACCTGGGTGCTTGAGTTCGGCTTTAGAGGCCTGTAATGGGGAGCAGGAAGAATTCAGTAGATTTGGGAAGACATTCTGGGGGGTCAAGTGGATAGGACTTGGTGACCAGCAGGAGGTGGCATGTAATGGACCGATAAGAGGTAACATTGAACCCTAGTGCCTGCTTTGGGCCCTGAGTAGGGATAACCTGGGGCAAGAGCAAGGTATAATTAGTTGCATGCTGTACAATTCACTCATTTTACCTGAACAGCTCTTTGAGTTTTAATAAATTTATAGAATTATGTACCCATTCACACAATCCAAGTTTTCAGAACGTGCCCATCACCACAATTAATTCCTTCAAGCCCCTTGCAGTCAATCCTTCTCCCAACCCTGGCCCCAGGTACACTCTGATCTGCTGTCACTCTGTAGTTTTGTCTTTTTAGAAATTTTATATGAATGGAATCATGTAACATGTGACTTCTTGTGTCTGGCTTCTGTCCCCTAGCAGAATATTTTTGAAGTTTCATATGTGTTGTCACAAGTATCAGAAATTCATCCTTTTTCACTGCTTCCTAGTATTCCATTGTATTGATGGACATAAATTGTTCATTTATTGGCTGATGAACATTTGAGTGGCTTCTATTTTGACAATTGCAAATAAAGTTGTGGTGAACATCTGGGTATGCATCTTTGTGTGGAAATATACATTCTTTTTAAAATTTTCTTAAAAACATTTATTTTTATTTATTTGACTATGCTGGGTCTTAGTTGCGGCATATGGGATATTTTAGTTGTGACATGTGGGATATAGTTCCCTGACCAGGGATGGAAGCCAGGCTCCTTGCCTTGAGTGGAGTCTTAGCCCGTGGACCACCAGGAAAGTCCCTGTGTGGACATACATTTTCATCCTCTAGGAGTGGAATGTCTGGGTCCTATGGTAGGTACAGGTTCAAGTATTTTTTTCTTGTTTTTTTTCAAGGTAAAATGGGTCTTTTATTTATTTGTTCTTAAACTTATAAACCAACCAGTCAGACTAGGACTATTATTGTCATGGTGTGGCAAAATACAAAACATTTTTCCACAAATACTAGAGTGATGGACAAATAGGAGTTGTAATAAAACAGAGGAAAAGCAGCAGAGGAAATCAATGAAGCCCATTGTGGTGTAGCCCTTTACCTTAACAACTGAGGTTCTTAACAAGCAGGGCCTTCGTATCCTAGAAAAATGTAAGAAATAGTTCATCATGTCTTTGTACTTTTGCTTCCTATTTTGAGATTAGATTAAAAAATATGGAATGCTTCACAAATTTGAGTGTCGTCTTTGTTCAGGGGCCATGTTAATTTCAATACTGTTCCAATTTTAGTACATGTGTTACCAAAGCAAGCTCTTGTAGGTTTAATCTAAGGAACTGCCAGGGTGTTTTCCAGAGTGGCTGCACCCTAACTCTGTTCCTACCAGCAATGTGCAAGAGTTCCAGTTGCTCCCCAACACCTGATGTAGCCAGTCTTTAATTATAGCCATTCTAAGTGTATGTTGGTATCTAATTTTGGGTTTTTTTTGCATACCCTGATTAACTCATGATGTTGGACATCTTTTCATGGTCTCAGTGGCCACTCAGGTCTTTGGTGAAGTGTCTTTTCCAATCTTTTGTTCATTTTTTACTTGGCTTGTCTTCTTGACTTGACTTTTTTTCGTGTTCTGGAAACAAGTCCTTTATCAGATATACTATTTGCAACTGTTGTCTCCCAGCCTGTAGCTTGTCTTTTTGTTTTTTAATGGTATCTCTCATGGGGCAAAAGTTTACTATCTTGAGGAGGTCTCCTTTATCTCATTCATTATGGATCTTGTTTCTAGTTTCATATCTAAGATATTTTTTCTAAACGGAGGCATTTTCTTTCTTTCTTTCTTTTTTTTTTAAATTATTTGTTTGGCTGCACTGGGTCACAGTTGCAGCATGTGGAATCATCGATCTTTCGTTGTGGCCACAGGATCTTTTGGTCAAACCGGGCCTCCTGCATGGGGAGTGAGTGTCATAGCCACTGGACCACCAGGGAAGTCCTGGAGGCATTTTCTTTTTTTTTTGCATTTTCTTTTTTAAAACACTTATTTATTTAATTTTGGATGTGAAGGAACCTTCTGGCTTAGTTGCTCTGTGGCATGTGGCATCTTAGTTCCCTGCCCAGGGACTGAACCCAAACCCCCTGTGTTGGAAGGCAGAGTCTTAGCCCCTGGACCACCAGGGAAGTCCCCTGGAGGCATTTTATTAAAAGATATTTCCCTCATCTCTGAGATATTCATTTGCCTCCTACCATCCATCCCAATGAAGTCTGTTGTCTTGAGCAGCTGATGTGGGGAGGGCCTCATCCCTTAGATGCTCGTGTGGGAAAAGGGTGAGAATCCCTCATATGGTGAGATGGAGCATACAGAAAGGAGATCAGAACTGGAGAGAGATTGTAGCACACAAGATTCTCCCAAGGATCCTTCTGAGATGTAGAGGCCCTTGTAGGTTGGTCATTTATTCGTTTCTTCATTTATTCCAAACCAACCATACCAGTACATGACCTGCCTATACCTCATTCGTCTTCATCCTTCCATTATAAGATTGTGGCCTCTTAGAGGCACCTGCCTGATGCCCTGAGCTCAACTAGCCCCAGGAACACTTTTTCTGGTCACCTTGTTGTGTTGGCTTTTTGGGGTAAAATTTATATAACATAAAACTCACCAATTTAAAGTGTACCATTCAGTGGTATCCAGCCTATTCACAGGTGTTGTGCAAACATCACCTCTGTCTAGTTCTAGAACATCTCCATCAGCCAAAAAGGACAGCTTTTTCCCGTTAGCAGTCACCCCTTCCCCTCCCCCAGCCCCTGATGACTACGCGTCTACTTTCTGTCTCGATAAAGTTCCCTGTTTTATAAATAGAACAATACCATATGTGACCTTCAGCGTCTTTGACTCCACAGAATGTTTTCACAGTTCATTCACAAGGTCATATGTATAAGTCCTTCATTTCTTTTTATGACTGCATAACATTCCATTGTGTGGACATACCACATTTTGTTTATCCAGTTACCAGCTGAAGGACGTCTGGGTTGGTCCCACCTCTCGGCTGGTCTGGATAATGCTGCTGTGCGCATGCACTCACAGGTCTCTGTCTGAGCACCTGTGTTCCCTTCTCTGAGGGCGTGTCCCAGGAGTGGAATCCTGGGTGCTATGGCCGCTGTGTGTCCTGGAACGTGCACTCGCCACCTGACACTGCTTGGTGTGCTAGTGGAGTCTCCCTGAAGGTGGAGAACATGGCTGTCTCATGCACTCTTGGTCTTGTATGCCTAGAGCATGGGCAGCCCAGAGGAAGGGAATGTTCAAAAAATATGGTTGGGAGGGAGGGATGGGGAGGGAGGAATGGATGAATGAATGGAGTGTGGAAAAGCTCTCTAGGGCTTGCAGTCTGGCTGGTTGGAAGTCCCTTCTAGGTGGTCACATCCGTCCCTTGTCTTCTTGGGGAGACTTGTGGGGCTGCCAAGGACTCGGGGGAGGCTGGCCCTGTCTGTGAGGATGGTTGGTTTCCCAACCTTCCAGGTGGTGCCTGCATCTGCCGTGTTGTCCCATGAAGGGTTTTGTCATTTGGCCAGGGGTGGGGGTGGTTCCTGTCTTTCCCTTAGCGCTTCCAACAGTCCCACAACTCGGAGAACTGTCCTTAGGAGTGATGGTGTTTCCCCCCCACCCAACAACACCCCCAGCATTACATAACTTGTTTGTTCCAAGTTCACTTTTCTGCAACCAGTGGGG